CTTGGAGCGGGCGGGCGGCGTGAGCGGGGAAGGCCTGGAGCCTGGCGGTCCCGGGTTGCGCGCGCTCGCGTTCGGAAATTTGGGCGCGGGAGGTTCCGCTCGGGTCGGCGCGCGTTAGTTGGATCGACCTGCCACGGCACGGGTCCGTCGCGTCGGTCGTTCGGCGTTCCGTGGATCTGCACCGATGCCACAACGCGTCGGTCGAGCGAATCGTGCAGCCGGATAGGCCACCTCCCCTGCGGTCGGATCTCTCTTACTCCCTCCGTTCCAAATTACTCGTCATAGAAATGGATGTATTTAGGACTAAAATACATCTAGATACATCCATACTTGCGACAAGTAATTCAGAACGGAGGGAGTACATCTGAGATCTGGGCCGAATTTCCTTCACTGTGTTTTTTCTCTTACCTACATATGCGCCATCGATTCAGCGTTTTCTTTCGGAAATGATAAATCCCGAACGTTTGGATTGCCATTTTTCTCTTACGTACATATGCGGCATCGATTCAGCGTTTTCTTTCGGAAATGATAAATCCCGAACGTTCAAAATTTAAGCATGGCAATTCGGACGTTATTCATGGCAGCTTTAGTTCACGAGGGGTTGGCAACCATGGCAATTTTCGGACAAAAAAATAAACCGAGACAAAGTTGGCATGTTTTAACAACTAAAGTTGCCACCTCGCCTCAATTGAAGTTGCAATGAAAAAATGTTCGGGATGACATGCTTAGAATTTGAACGTTCGGGATTTACCGGGGTCCTTTTCTTTTCTCCTAATGTATCAAACCTTATATAAAAAAACACAGTATTTCAAACACAATAGATGGAGAAAAAAATGTCACTTTAGGGCTTGCTTGGCTCTCACCACGCTATCATAGGCAAAATATTGATGTGGCGTTGTAATTAAACAAGAAATAGTGGAGTTGTATCTTAGCTAAGATACAACTCTTAGCTCATTTTTCTGTGCGGTATAATTAATGCTCTGATCTTTTGTGGCTTATCCTCTTTTTTTCCTCCACAACTAGGCCACAATGTTAAGATGCACAAAAGATCATTACTACTAAATCAACGATAATTAATATGCATCAGAGGGAGAAAGTGGAGGGATAGTTGTCGTGTTTTTCAAGAATGTTGGGAGGTTTGAGGCATTAAAGAGTTTAGTGTTTTCTACCCCTTCAATGTAGGTAACTGCCTCCGAAAAGACCGGATCGTAGCGAGGCGGAAAGGAGGTGCCCGCGGGTTCCCTTTGCGAGCCATTGCAGTCGCTATTGGTTCCCTCTCCCTCCGTCGCTCGCTCTGGCGACGGGAGGAAGGGGAAACCTTGGATCTATGCGTCCGATGGAGGCGTCGTGTCTGAATAAGTTCCCTCGTGCTCCGCTTGCGGTCAGATGGGACTCTTGCCTTCATCTAGGAGCCAGTAGGGTGGGGGTCCCTGAATCTCGTCGAGGTCGCGGTCTATGGTGCCTAAAGGTCGACCGGCACTGGCCGGGTTGGTCCCCAAATGGGTAGTGGTTGTGTGGAGACGGAGATTCTTCTTCCTCATCGTCGGTATGATTTTCGGATGCGTTTCTTCCTCCTTCTTTATGCTGCTAGAGGGATATTCTGCTTTGCTCTGGCAGTTGGCCCGACCGCGACGCCAGAATCGGATCGTAGTTCTCTTCCATCTAGAAGGGGCGCATACATCGGTACTCAAGGTCACAAATGGCAAAGGCTTGTGCAGGCGTGTTGGATGCATATGTGTGTCCTTGTATTTTCAGCATGGGAGCGAAGAAAATGGGGAGCAGCATGGCGGCGATTATCCCGTGGTTAAAGATGATGATCTGTTTAGGTCTGGTTGCAGGGGTCTTCTCGTAAGGTTTAGGGACGATGACACATAGCTCTGAGAACTTCGTGTTTTATTGGTTGTTTTAGCGTGCTCTTTGTTATTCTGTTTATTTTGTGTGTGTGTAAGGGTGTGATTGTACGGATCAAGGACTTTGTATTTTTTATGATTTGAATACAGGCATACTTCCTAAAAAAAGCTGGTTTGATTTTTGCGCGTAATTACTCCTATAAAGGATGTTGAAGTACACGTCTTCTTGGGGCTTGATACGTCTCCAACATATCGAGTATTCCAAACACTTTTGCTATTATTTTTGTAAGTGCATCTAGTGCTCCTTAATGATTTTGGTGTATTGAAGGCTTATAGGTTAAGGAACTAATGTGTTTGTGAGTGTACACAAGTTCTATAAGTCTATAAGGAGTTTGATATTTACGATGAAAGTCGACCCCTAAAAATGAATGTCTTCAGTTGAAGACCTTGGTTTTCTTGAAGACTTTGAAAATGAGGAAATTGGTGTGACCTTGAATACTTTGATATTGATACAAGGTTTATGAAGCGTGAAGACTTCTGTTTTCGTAGTTTCATTTTCTCTTTCTTGAGTCAAAGAAAACGTCGTACTGTTAAAGGGGGTCGAGGTAGAACTAAGAAAAAGTTTTCAAGTGATGCTCATCTCAAATTCTACACCTTCCCAATCCTTTTGAGTGGAGCCATTGGAAATCTCATATAGTTCAGTCAATTTCTTCAGTGACAGAGACGAAGTTCTTCTGTTCTTTAAGGAATTTGTTCTGACTGAGGGGTTAGAAATTCGCCAGTGCGATTACCTACAAGTGAGGAACAATTTCCGACCGTTGTTGTGCTACGCGCCAGTTGTCCCAAAATATCTTATCCACCTAACGGTCATATCATTGAAGGGCATTTATGTCTTATCATGTCGGGCTGCTCCCCGGCTACAAATAGCCGCCCCCTACAATCACTAGTTGGTTGGCTGCTCCAAGAGAAACTGACACTTGTCATTGAGAACATCCCATCCTCCGAGAACTTTGAGCAAAATTCATCAATGAGGAAAACCCAAACCCGAACACCTACAACCCAAAGTGATTGAGCATCATTGAAGAGATTGTTCCCGTATGAAACCGACGTGTGTTACCTTTAAGGACTATGCATCCTCCAGACGGTTAGGCGTCATGGTCTAGAGCATCCAAGAGGAATTGTGGATCGCCGAGTGACCGAGTTTGTGAAGGTTGGAAGTCACCTGAAGACTTACCACGAGTGATTGGGCGAGATCTTTGTGACCTTAGCTCAAGGAGAATACGGTGAGGACTATGTGTCCTCGGGTTTAAATACCTAGCCGATCCAACCAGACGTACAACCGTACAGTAGTTGGAGCTGGTCTACCAAATCATTGTCTTCACGAAGCTACTGGTTCTATTTCCTCAACCCTTTCATTTCCTCATTCATGTGTTGACGAACTTGATCGTTACTATTTGAAGACTTTGACTGCAGACTTTATCAATTTTCTTAATACTAATTCTTCAGTCATATTATCTTCAACCTGCTTATCCTGTTTACACGCTACCTGTGCACTGTGCTTGTTTCATATCATCATGTTGACTGTGTTACTGCCATGTTATGCTTGCACCTGAGTACCTATTCTGTTGCTACTAGTTCGTCGCTTAGCAAATTCCTCAAGTTGAATTTCCTCAATGACGAATT